GGGGATGGTGCAGAGCAAGTACTTCATGATCAGCTGGGCAGCGTTCTGCAGTTCATGGCTGTTATGCATGGACTGTGTTGTGGAACTTGTCTGCACTTCAGCCTTTTTCTGCTAGGAGTTTGTCAATTCTTGCACTATGCTGTAATTCCCTTTCTGTAGGCTTACGGCTTAGATATGCCATCATAATTCAGATTTTCACCTCCTAAGGAGTGAGCTGCCTCTGCAGTGTCTGCTTGGCCACTCTTAAGACCTTGCATATCTTGATTGTGAGCATCCGTTTTTTGACTTCTCTGCTGCCAGGGGGTGCTGCTGGAAGTTTCTCAGGCTTTTCAGTTGTTCAGGCTGTTTAAGTAAAACATACTTTTATTCTGTGGACATGCAATTCCAGTGAGCTGCATTAAAGTCTTTCTTTTGTCCTTCTGAGAAGCAAGCTTGAACAGGGAGAAGAGAATTTCAGAGCAGGGGCTGGTTTCCCCTGAACCTGGACAGATGCTGCTGATTTCCTAGTAGTTGCAGAGAGTTCTCGTTTATACTTTACCCTTGCACATAGTTTAAAAAGGAAATCTTTAGAAAGAAATAATAACTTCCATGAACTCTGTGGTGATTAGGAGCTTTAATCTTAGTGATGGCTTGAAGAATCAAAGCTTAAAACCTCACTTAGACTGTCTGCATGTTGCAATGGATTTGGTTGAGTTACTTGACTGTAACCTAACTCAAAGGTGACTTGACCTCCAACTGGTATGTAAGAGCCTGTTCATAAGATCAGTGGAGTCATGAGGTTTCCCTGCCAAGGCCTTTCAGGAGCTGGGGATGGCAGTAGGGAGGCATGGTGGTATGGGGGATGCATATGTATGCATGCCCAGGCATGGGGGTGGGGGGTTGCCTTTTAGCAGGGAGCCCTGTTTAGGTGGATAGAGGCTCAGCTACCCTATGGCCCGAAACACAAGACCGTAAACTCAGTTCTGAGGCCACGATGTAGCTCAGTGAGCCAAACCAGAGGAGCTATATTGCGAAATGGGCTAGCACTGGGTTGCTGTCAAGGCTATGCGATCCAGCCCTCCAAAGATGATTTTACCATGGTTTGAATTTGCCCCAAGCACACGTTTTTAAGTGCAGGCAAGTCCTTTTTGTGCAATTGTATTTCATTTTGTTCTGAGGAAGACTTTAGACTGGAATAAACTATTCCAGTCTAATTGATATCAGCTGAAAGCCAGCTTCTGACATTTTGTGCCTATTTGTAAATGCATCTTAAACTGTGTTTGCTATCCATGTCAATACGTTACTAGTAAAATAAGTTACAACCATGAAGATGTGTTTTTGAAACAGTCTGGCAGATCGTGTGTTCGCTGCTGTGGGCTTCGTGGCAGGAGAATCCACCTCCTGCTGAGGGGGAATAACTAAATTTAAACTTTCCAACCATGAGCCTTGAGAAGCAAAGTTTCCAAACCTCTGCTGAGCAAGAAAATGGAAAGCCATGTCTGAGTTCTGAGAGTAAATAAATAGAGCAACCTAGCAGCTGTGCAGTGGCAAGTGAGGGGCTTGATGCTTGGGGAACATTGTCTCCCAGCCACAGGCCCCAGGGAGGAAAATGAGGGTTTGTAACTACTGTCTTCTGGTAAAATCTTCCGTGACAGGATTTGGAATGAACTTGGGTGACTTTTAGCATGAACACTTGAGCATTGTTTCAGCTGGTTTCCTTTTGTTTATTTTTCTTTAAAGAAAGTTGCATGTTACATGGTGGCAGAGCCCAGCAAAGCCTCCCTTCCCCTCACCAGGCACAGGGCTGCGGCCTCCCAGCTGTGGGAGGGCTGGGTGGCCATCACACAACTTGGGGCTTTGCCCACCATACAATTAACTGGGTTTTGTGCCCCATCTCTTTACAGACCAAGCTGGCTTGTCCCTGCCTTTGCTTATCACTGGCGGGATTGGGAGTCTCCTGTGAAATTTGTTGGGTTTATGGCAGCCATTAAAGTCTGCAAACTGTTTTGAGGTGCGTGTACAGAAATAGCTATTTTCTCAGTTCCCTTTGGGGAGGCTAAAATACTGGTGTTGAACAATAGTTTGCATTGTCCTGACAAAGCAACTTGCAATTTGGGGGGAGACTGGACAATTGTAGAAAACAACAGAAATGGTTTACCTGCTTGGTTTTTTATTGGCTGGTATCTTAACCCTGACCTTACCTGAATGGAGCAGAATCTAGTTGTGCTTATATCCAAGAGCAGCAAGCTCTTGGGTGAGTGAGTCTATATCAAAACCAGTGGAGGATTTAATAAATCAATGTAGTCAAGCAAGAAGAGGGGCGAGGATAGTTATGGTTGGGATGCATTTACCTAAAGACGGCTCACTTATAATTTTACTCATCTGTCCGTGGATGTGACCTAAAGGTTATATCTGTATAGTTGGTGAATACTTAAGATTTTTATAGATAGTGGTAGAAACTTGGATGTTCAAGTAAGAAGGCAAATAACTGGTGCTTATGGCCTGAAGTCAGATTTTGGTTGTCTTTTTCTCTTATTTCTGTTATGTGCAGTACCTTCCAGCTTCCCAGGGCACTGAATTCAGGTTGTGTTTGTTAAACGCCAGCTGTGGTGACAAGTGCTCTAGAAGCACTTATTGTTTTGTAACCTGTTCTGAAATCTGTGCCCTTTTACTAAAGTCTCCTATTTCCATCTTTTGACTTCTGTGATACCTCATATTAGGATTTGGGCAATGTTTGTGCTATTTCCCTTGCATTCATATACACATATATACACATACAACCTGTTTTGATACTGTAGATATGCATGTTGCAAGACTTGCTTTAAGAAATTGGAGAACTCAAATCAGAGTTGTCATGGATAGACTTCAGGTTTCTTAAAATAAATTGATGTTTACTCCATTGCAACCTTTTTTACACAAGGCCTGCCTGCACACTCACTTACCACTGTGGGAGTGTCTGATAGAAATAGTATTAATAGGAGTGAGCCTCCTCCCCTTCTAGGTGGCCGCAGCATAGCTCAAACCTGCACCAAAGTTGCTGACCCTGTGCTGCCTTCTCAGTAGCATCTTGCTATTCTTGTTCCTATTAATGTTGACTGAGCAACTTCTTTTGCTACTTCTTGTAGGTTGGTGGTTTGTGAGCACAGCAGAGGAGCAGGGCTGGGTCCCTGCAACATACCTGGAATCCCAAAATGGAACCAGAGATGACTCTGACATCAACACATCCAAACTTGGGGAAGGTATGGAAAGCTTTTTGTTATCAAGGCAAAACTGGTATAAGCTTTATGCTTTTCCCCTCATAAGAAAGCTTTGTAAACTCTTGCTGCCACTTGTGGTTGTTAACCCAGTGCAGTAACCTCTTCTTCCACCTTGTGTCAGTAAATAAATTGCTGCAGAAGAAGCTGAAGTACCCTGCCTGTAATCCCTTTGTGGCCAGCTTGCGCTGTCAGTGTGCCAAAAGGTTCAAAAGCTGAAATGATGCTCATTTTAATACCCTTAAAAAGCATACAAACAACTTATGTGCAAGTTTAAGCAGTATATTCTGGTAGAGATCTTGGACTCTCATGTCCATGGAAGGAGAGAGCTTGCATGGCTTGTTCGCAGAAATTATACAAGTGAGAGCTTTTAATTGGGAGATGATGCTTGTTAGCGCCACAGGCCATTAAAAGGAGTGAGATTTAACTTTAATGGTTGCTTGTCATTTACAATTTGCTTCTCATTACAAATTATTTTTAATTAATCCTTGAAACTAGTTTCACTGCTGTTTGGTGTGGTCTAAGATTGTGTGGAAAGGTATTTTTATTTGGTGTGGTCTCATTCTAGTAAAGCTGAGATGCGATTTGCCATGTATATGTATTTAGCTGTGCTGTTTTTTGGCTAAAGATGTTTAATTTAGGTTCCAGAAATGGAATAGTACGACCTCACATGTTCCTCTGTTGCATTATGAAAGACTAACCACATCTTAATGGACTTCTCATGTAGCAACTGTGTACAGAGGACACTTTTATTTTCTCCATTCTAATGAATATCTTGCTAAATTTCTAGGTTCTCTTGACGTGACACTTATGTAAAACGTATGATAGATACTCAGCTGACCTTTCCTTAGCACTGGCAGGAGGCTTAGAGATGTGTTGGGGTGACCATCTGCCCATTAAGATAGCACACAGGCAAAACATAACTTTGGGCTGGGCCCCAAGGGTGACATCTGTGGCTTATTGAAATCTTTGGCTCTGTAACTCATTTTTCCCTGCTCAAAGCTACTCATATCCTGGGTCACTTAGGGTTTAGAGACAGACTGGCTGTAGACTGGTAGGCCAGAAACCAGTCTGATATGATGCAACATCTTAGCGGATGCAAAAGCAGTTAGTAAAGTTTCCCTGTTAGTAAAGAACAAAAACTTACTGCTCTTTTCTGAAAGAGTTGAAGAATGCCTTGTCTGTTGGTCTGTAGCTTTCTCCCTCTTCCTGACTCTTAAATATGGTGCATGCTTGACAGCCTTATTGCTTGAACTGCTTTCATTTCAAGCTCTCCTCTGCATTTCGTGTTGCCCTCTGGAGTGTACTCTGGACAGGGCTGTTGCCACACAGCAGTCTTTCCTGGGTAATGGAAAATCCATCAAATGTTCCTTATCTTTTTCATTTCGGTCCCCTTTAATCCATTACACCGCTCACCTCAGCTGTGGTCAGCGATCATGCTCCCTGCCTTCCTCCAAATTCAGATATGCTGAAACCTGAGATTGTTCTTCCCTTTCTGTTCAGTTCCATCTCAGTGACAAATCTGATTGTGTTACCTTCTTAGCTGCTTTGATGTGCCCCAGCTTTTGCTTGCTTTTGAGTAACTTGTCTTATGTTATTAGCCACATAAGCTAAGACTTCTTTTGTTTGTTTTTTCCCCCTCCAGCTCTTCTTTATTTGGGCTGTTCTTCTAACAGTTATTCCATAAGAGAGGAAAGAACAACTCAGATTCACTGTCTTAAAAAAAAAAATAAGTGTATAAAAGTGATGAACATACTTACACAGAAAACTTTCCAACTGTCTCTCAGTATGCAGGAGAAAGGGGCTCCAATATAACTGAGAAGGCAGGCACTTTAAGTGGATTAAGTGCCTTAACCCCTGTATTTAGAGTTCGTACAAGTTTCAGAGTGGCTCCTGGAGGTGTTGACTTCCTGCAACTGTGCAGTCTGTGCTCTGCCTGCTTTGAAGGGGTAGAAACACTAATGTAAGGAGCTTTCTGTGTCAGCCTTTTGGCCCTCTCCATTTGCAGCGGGCCCGGAACAAGGCTCCAAGCCGGCAGACCCAGAGGTCTGCTCTGCTGAGGCAGGCCCTTGTAAAGATAAGGAGATGCTGAATGCAACTTACTAATAATGCTGCCTCTACATAGCAGTAATATTTCCATGTGTCTCTGTTTAAATAGTCTGTTCCCTGCAAAAGACAAAAGTGTTTCCTCCCTGCGTCTGAGCCTGCACAACATCTGTTGTCAGGATGAGGGCAGACAGTTGACTGCTACCTGGGCCTGTGTTTAGACAAACACCATCTCACAAGGCTTGGAAAACATTCAGAAAGCAATCTAAAGAAACATTCGCAGCCACAAGAGCTGTTAAAGTAAACATCTTATAATGGTCTCTGGAAAGGTTTAGGTACTTGATAAATAGGCTTTCTGGTGACTGTGTCATGACCAACCAAGTCCAAGTCTGGGATCAAGTGGCAAAATGCAGTATTGTTGAGGAGAAAAAAAACTTGATTCATACAAAAGCATCATTGCGATATAAAAGGGCTGTCGCTGGGGATAGTCATATGTTGCGAGGACATGGTGTGGTGGATCTGTGTGGCCCACTATGTTCAAGGGATGCTCTTGGGTGGCTGAATCCTCCAAACTCCTGGTGCAAGCAAGAAGCTGTGGGTGACTGCTCTGTGTTGACACCTGAAGCAAACTTCTACTGTTTCCACACCCCTCCTTCCTGCAAGCCTTTAAGTTCAACATCTTTAATCACCTCCCTTCTTGTATAGAAACCTCCTAATGCAGGCAGCCTTACTGTGAATTTATCTTTAGCTTCTCTCTCTGCTATAATCTGGATGTCTGGTGAGGTGTCCTCTGTTGCCTCTTGTGTAGCATGTGCGTAACTGGTCATCTAATGTCCTATTGATTTGGAGAAAGCCACCAGGTTAAACCAATTGGTAAGAAAAACACTACCAGTAAGCAGTGAAGACAGCTCATCTTCTGTGCCACCATGGGCTTCCAGGAGGATCACTGATTTCCATTAGCCAAGAACACAGTGATCTATAAACTTGAAATCCCGCTCCTCTGAAATTTTATGGTGATTCTTTGAACCGTATGTGATCAAAGGGGAAGTACAGAGTACCACCAACAAGACAATGTGTCTGTTCGACACCACTCACCACACCTCCACTTAGGGTGGCTAGGGAAGATTTAGGCCTTATCACAAGGGAGAAATTGAGGAGAGTGAGCTGGGTGCAGGAGTCTGGTCTAAGCCCCTGACAGATATAAAGGGCAAAAAGGCAAAAGCCACTTTTTGGGGAAGTTATTAATTTTTTTACTTGTTCAGCTAATCACTCCCAGATCAAATAATTTTGCTGTCCCTGATTGTCTACAGAAGATAGTTGTGGAAGACAACGGTGTCTGCTGTCATAAGGGTATATTCCCCAAATAAGTGTACATAAGCAGAATTGAGTGATTATTAATGATGTAATATCAGAGTTTATGAACAGCTTCCCAGCATCACTAGCAAAACAGTGGTGTTTGCACCCTAGTGATAGTTGAAATGTAATATTTTGCATTGCTTTGTGGCAGCACTAAGCACCCTTGCAGTAGTGGCCAAACTAGCGCAGAAGCCTTGAATGGAAAAAGGGAAGTGTTTGTCTCTGTTTCTGTGCCAGTCCAGTGGTTCCTGTGTTGTTCACACCTTCACAAGCGGAAGAAGGAACTGAGTACGGTTCTGCATATGTGATCCAGAAAACAGTGTCCTCTGTGCACAGCTGTTCTCACAATGCCATTCCCATAGGTGTCTTGTCTTTGTTTATATTTTAAGCATAAATTATTGTTTCGGTGTGTAACTAATGCTCAGTTCTGGCTTGTTAGCTTCTTGAGCCTGCTCAATAGTTGCAAGGTTAAGTTTTTCCTTGTATTTATAATCAGTATTTTAGAACTTTGGTTCATGAGAATTAGCTGTGGCAGTGACTGTGAGTCACATGTTGCAAGCAAGGAGACATCAGACCCTTTTCACTTTCGCTTGGGTTCTGTTCCTGAGTGCTGCTGTTACAAGTGGGCTCACATGGAAGTTCCTTTTTATTTATTTTTTTTTTTCTTCGGGATTTTGTTTATATTGTGATAATTTGCTTAGAGAGGCTTAGAGCCCTGTTGGGTTTGATGACATATGCAATAGACTAAATTATCCAAAGATCATGCAGCCTAACTAGGAGATGTAACAGCAATGACGTTGATCTGTCCTGCCACTGCAGCCTCCTTGGACAAGTGGTCTTCAGTTGTGCAGCTTGTTTTGGCGTGTGCGTGTTTTTGTTCAGGGTTGGGTTTTTTGGGGGGTTTTTTGGGGATTTTTTTTTTTTTAAAGGAAAGTCAATAGCAAGGGTGGCAATTTGTGATAGTTCTAGGTGGTTCATGTTTCTCAGGCTCAAGAAGCTAACTTGTTCCATTGTACTATATAAACTAAAACAAAATGTCTGCATCCCACTTAACCCGTTCCAGTGCTTGTAAATGCCATGTTTTGTTTTTATTCCTCACCCTCCGATCATTTTTTCCCTTTTTTTTTTTTTTCTTGTTTCCATCCATGTTCCAAACTAGTTTCTAAGCGACGCAAGGCTCATCTGAGACGCCTAGACCGGCGATGGACGCTGGGCGGGATAGTCAACAGGCAGCAGAGTCGAGGTGAATTAATAGCTTCCTATGGTACCTGCCCCTAAGGGTGCATCAAAAGCCATGCTGCAGCTTCGGCTGTTGTGCACCACAGTCTGCATAATAGAATGACAGAACAGTTTCAGTTGGAAGAGACCTTCAAGATCATCAAGTCCAACCTTCCTCCTAGCTCTATCCACACCACTAAACCATGTCCCTAAGTACAACATCTACCTGTCTCTTAAACGCCTCCAGGGATGGTGACTCCACCACCTCCCTGGGCAGGCTGTTCCAATGCCTGACAACCCTTTCAGTAACAAAATTCTTCCTAATATCCAGCCTGAACCTCCCCTGGGGCAGCTTAAGGCCATTTCCCTTTGTTCTACTGCTTGTCACTAGGGAGAAGAATCTTCATCATTCTGGTAGAGAGGAGCCAAAGCTCTAGAGTTCAGATGTGGATTTCATACATGACAGCTTGAGGGTGTCTTGGAGCCAGAGTTAGGCACCCCGAGAGCTGGAGGGTAATAAGCAAGGGTAACTCTGCAGTCTGACTCCTTGTGCTGGTTGGGGAAGCTCACATCTGTTGTGTTTTAGCTTCGGGCATGTTCGTACTCAGTCTTTCCTACCTCCGTAGGGACAAGTGATACTTTTAGGGCTGTTAAAATAAGAATGCCAAAAAGCCATGGTCAGTGATGTGCACACTGGAAAAATCCTTGGTGTGGAAAGATGAGAATCATTCCAGTCTCAGTCCCCGTCTCTTCCTTGCAAGCAGTACTTGGTGCTAAAGACAGACTTCTTCAGAACTTCTGTGATCTTTTGATGTCAGTCCTAGGTGTTTTAAAATACCACCAGTAGCAGCATTTGGTTTTTTAGCTGTGCTGGTCTGACAGGGAGCATGGCAGGGGGAGGGGGGACACTTTGTGTTCTGAAGCTGTGTTTAGGTAAAGTCTGAGGAATCTTCCAAACCAAGTGTTTCTCCAGTGCATGTGAATCATCTTTCCCAGAGTAAAGGCATCCGTTTCTATCCCCTTCTCCCCTTCTTGCAATATTGTCTAGATGTGGTATTCATTGCATTTTTAAAAGGAAGGAGGTGGTGGGAAGCACCATTTGCACCTCTGTGTTACTGTCAGACAGCCTTACTGAGGTGATGGAACCAAATGTACGCACAAGAGAAGCTTCCCAGTTGAGGTAAAAGGTGCCTTTTACCTACTAGGGAGGAGGTGTGTTTTTAAAGTAGCAAATTTATCTTCTCCTGGATTTAGTGGTAGTTCTGTGTGCACATTTGTGCGTATAAAGCACATACAACTTTTCAATGACCTTCTACCTTTGCCTCAAAGTATTACTGAGGAAACCAAAATAACAAGAGGGGTGTTCTTCCTCCTGTAGCTTGACCCTGCAGCAACTGGAACTACCCTCAGAGGACAGTCTTGCTTCTCAGCACCAGATACACCTTGAAGGCACCAAAAAAAACCACCCAACCCCCTAAGCACACATAATGGCTTGTGAAAAAGAACTTGTGCTTATTTCAGTACTCCAAGAGCTTGGGAGCTACTTATTTTGCATTGTTGAATTCTGCCAGATACTTCCTGGCAATTTAGCTGTGAGAATTTCTGGAAATCAGTTTTCTAAACAGTTTGCTTATTGGTTTAAACAAATTCAGCTTTTCATACTCATACAATATTGCAAACAAAGCTCCATAAAATATTAAGACTGCGTGATCAGTGCCTTAGCATAGTTGACTGGTAAAACTCAAGGACCAAAGTTGCGTTCTCAGTTCTCACTCTCGCACTCTTACGCCCACCATCTGTGTGCATCTTCTCCAGACCTACCCTCTGACCAGTGTCACAGTGTCTTCCCTGGCAGTCTTCTCCACCACAGGCTCCCTTAATCTCTTCCATCCTTGCCTTTTTCTTGCTCCATAACAGTTTCTTCCTTATTAAGCCCAAGCAGTGCTGGGATTTTGAGTGTGTTGGAGAATATGTGCTGTATCTCAAACTAAATCTCAGGACTTGAACATGGCACAAACTGCAGCATCTCAAGGTTTGGGGCACTCTCTGTGGCTGAGCAGCTTCTATAGGCTCTCTCCAATGCATTTCATCCACAGCTAGACAGGGTGACTAAAAGTAAGCTGTTTAATGTCAGCTGAAAATAGTAGGTATGGGAGCTCTTATAAGAGCAGGCTCATTGGAAGTAAAGAAAGTGATTTGAATATTTGGGGACAGGTTGGAGACAGTGGCTTCATCATCTGTCGTAGCTGTAGCCTGTACAGACATCTATGCCTTCCAAACTCCAGTTGTTGAAAGTATGAATCTCTCTGGGTGTCCAGCCTGCTGTTCTCTAACAGATCACAGTTTATGTGAGGTCAGGAGAGATTCTTTCTCCCTTCTTTCCCTCCTGTCCCAGCCCAAAAGACTTCGAACAAGGCCAAATTTGGGTGGGTTTGCACTGAAATGACAGAATGCATGAAGTGTACACATGCACCCTCCCTGCCAGCCCTGCTCCAAAGTACAGAAGAACTAGAGCTGCTCAAACAGGAGGTTGCCAGAATTGTTCAACACAGGCAAAACAGCTTCCCCTCCCCCACTTGGCCTCTTTCTTGGAAATACATTCAATTAAACATTTTGGCTGAAATTCTTCCCACCCAGCGATATTCTGCTTGAGATAGTCCCTGCTGTTGGAAGGCATAGCTCTGAGAGTTCACTGGAGTTTAAAAGCAAGCTGTAAAGGATGCTTCCCTTTATATTTATGCTTTGGTACCACTAATAAGCATTTTTACCAACTAGGTCTGTGATAGCATCACTCAAAAGCCGAAACTGAAGGAATTAAGTGTTGTTTCTGAAGGCCAGAATTTTCTAAGTGGCTTGGATATTAAAAACACAGGGAAAGCCTGAATGTGGAAGGGAAGGGTGTTTGCTTCCCTGTTACAGACTGCCTAATGGGGGAGAAAGGGGTAACATATGGCTTATTTATTCCTACTCTTTCCAAAGCCGTTTGAAGAGGCTAAGCTTCCCTGAACTTCAGATATTTGGGAGCAATGTTACTGGGTCTGTGAAATAAGAAACATGATTGACAAATTATTGAATATCATGGTAGTGCTCCTTTTTTAAAACTGAAAAACTGCAAAGAGAACAGCTGTAGTCTGTTTTTACAAAGAGAAACAGATGACATTTGTTGCTGAACTTTTCTTTTTAAAATGGTCTGTGGTGTGCCTAGATCTAAGAGATTACATTGGTTTATGTTTCTAATGTAGCTGCAGAGCTTGTTTTTTTTAAATGTTAAATGTTTTTAAATGTGGTACACTTTCTAAATGTTTGTCTATACATTACAAAACGCCAATAATACAAATATGGATTGTGAGGGGAAGCCTGAACATTTGTAGTTTTCCTCAGTCGTGACACTTGTTCGACCTGCGAGCCGGAGAGTTCATGCTCTCTTGTACTGGGTAAAATGCTAATTCTATGCATGTGTTTATTTGGAACTTCCCTGAAAGAGGACTTAGGATTGTTTACAGGCTAATTTCATGAGAAGTCATTTGTACTATTACAGTTTGACTGGGAAAAGTGGGGGTTTACATGACTGTTTTATGTGCCAGATACCTGACATAAGTTATTGCTGCTTTGGTTTTGTGCCCAACACTTTCAACTGGAGCTGTTACAATGTAGGAAAGTACTTTTAAAGTTATTGATATCAACAACATAGTGACATATGTGCTGAATTTCTGCCAAATGAGCCTATTATTTAAGAGTAGCTGCTAGCACAAGAAATAAGCTATTTAATGAAAGAGTTAAAAGTTAGAACTTGGAAGTTTATAGGTCTTCCTACTGCTTGCCTAACATATGGAGAGATGGATAGGGTATAGAGGGAAGGCAGCCATATAATCCAGTGGTCTACTTGAATCTCCTAGCCCAAGTGGGTCATTCTGTAGCCAGTTTTCTAGCTGTGGGACGAGCCCTTGATCAGTACTGGTAATCCAGCCTGGCTGGTGTGCTTGTGCACTCTTACACTTTCCTGCATCCCACCAGAGCTGCTTTGCCCTCTTTGGCAGCCCCCTCATTACCCACAGGACTTCTGCCTTTGTTTTCACTCTTTTTCCCTGCTTGTTTTTGATGCTGGTGAAATGTTTGTCAGTCACAGCGCAGGACTGCTTTGCCATGCTAAATCAAACCAGCACAGAGCAGCTTCAGACTTAGTTTGTTCTTTCTTTTCTTTTTTTTTTTTTTTCCCTCTTCTGTGCTGCAAAGAAAGTAGTAAATGTTTATTGCCCCTTGCTGGTTGAAGAAAGAGCATGTGCAATACAGAACTGTTTAGAAGAAACGTCATTATTGGTTTTTTCTATCTGTTGGCATGAGGTTTTCTGTTATTTAAAAAAAAAAAGTAGAGGGGAGAGGGATAAAGGCTGAAGAGCTCCTGTCTGCAGATGAACACATTTGATAACTGTGGACAGTTATTTTTTCTGCTGAATATTTAGACAAGTAAAGCAAAGTCCATGTTGAATTAATGCATTGCTTTCTGGAACAGCAAGACTTTTTCCAGAAGCAGGTCTGACAAAGGGGGGGTGGAGCGGAGGAGTGGGGGAGGGCGAGTGCAGACTGCTGACTGAGGGGAAAGTATTTTGAAAGAAAATTCTTCTGTGGTTTGGAAGATGTAGGTTTGGGGCTGTTACATTTTGCTGAGAAATCATTAATTGGCTAATTTCTAGCCCAGTTTCCCCCCTATCCCCACCCCTACCGGCATATCAAACAAGGATGGGGTCACAGAAAGTAGGGGGCATGTACAAACACCAGCTGAGCAAAGGAAATTACTCCCTTCCTTGGTTGGCTCCTCAAGTGCTGCAGATAACTTCCACACGTATTTGTGGAGGCAGAAAAGAGCAAACTTATAAAACATAGGTGAAGGAGTGGTATGCGAAACAGGGTGCTCAGAACTTGGAAGCAGAAATGTATGAGCGCTGGCCATTTGCCTGGGAGAGATGAGGCTGATTATGCAGGGCTGGAAACGTGCATGGTATTTTAGCTACTTAAAGGCAAGCTTTC